ACAGCCCAGCCCACAAAATCATTCAAATTATCACCTCCCCCTCTCTTCCCTCCCCCAACAGGAGCATTCGATCAGGCAATTCTGTTCCAAGGAAACCGAATTGAAGTAGGTGCATCACCAAGACAAGGACCAGTTTCCCCGGCAAATCCACTCATCCATACATAATCCGTACAAAGTTTTCAAATCCGACGGTCGAAGGCAGGGAAGAAATCGGAAGCAAACGCAAGGGCATCACCTCAGTATTAGAAGAAAAAAGAAAGAAGGATAAGATGTACCGTAGCTACCCCACTATAGCTTGTTTCGTGAGGAGTGGGGCGGGGAAACGAGGTACATAGACTGGAGATAACAAAATGGAAAGATAAAAACAATAAATGATAGATAAAATAAAATCAATCAATCAATCAATCAATCAATAAATACATGCAAAGAGAACGATTTGGGGAATAAATGTAGTTGTTAAATTTTTCACAAGCGAAGGAACCCGATCGGTCAACATCAGATCAGATCAAGGTGGTAATGGGAAGTTATAAAAAAAACTCGGCTGGTTAAGAAACGAATGGTAAACCAGATGATAGAGTAGATTGGGGTGGGGGTTAAAACGAACGCTCGAAAAGAAAACCCATAAAACCATAACAGTAAAACCCATTCACAATTTCACCGCGCAGGGGGGTAGAAACAGACCAGCCAACCAATAAATCAATAATAAATCGTGACTTGAAAGGGGAGGGGAAAAAACAGTATTCAGGGCGTCCTATACAAATCTCTCCGTTTCTCATCCCTATATCCACTCATTCACGCCAACCAGCCTCTCCGCAGCACCACCGCCACCATACCCCTTACCGCCGCTATACTCCACAGTACCAAACGTAGACCGATACAACTCTTCGATCTCAGCAATGTACTCGTCCACCGCAAACTTATACAGTCCCTTCTCCACCAGCATCTGCTCCTCCTCTACAATCACAGCGTTGAGTACCGTAGCGAATTCCTCAGCGACCTCGTTGACCTGCTCTAGCTCCTTGCCAAAAGGGTGTAGCTGTGTGGAGATAGAGGTAGAAGACTCGGGGACTTGGCAGAGGTGTTCTTGGCTTAGTCGAGCGGATCGCGCGCTGCTTTGGGTGCTGTGGGACCGGTTGATCGATTGGGAGCGAGAGTGGGAGTGGGATTGAGAGCGGGAGAGGGAGGTAGTTGATGATGTATGTGAATGCGATGAGCCCTTAGATAGTGATCGCTGGCGGGCTAATTCCTGATGCGATCTTTTTGTATGCGACAATGATCGACGGGGCAGCGTTGGGGTTTGAGAGACAGAAGAGATTGAAGCGCGGGTGTCGTGGTGTGTAGTGTTGGAGCGCTTGGGAGAGTTGAAGTAGCCAGAGAGATGGTTTGGCTCTGGAGTGGTGGGCGAGTTCTCTTCGGGCGAGAGATCCGGGGAGGTCATCGGGGTGCCGGAGACGTGTGAAGGAGAAGGAATAGAGGACGAGGATGAGGCGGAAGAAGGGTTTGTAATATCTGAGTCTGAACCGGAACGGACAGAGGAAGATGATGAATTGGAGGGGGATGTCAAAGTTTTCTTGAGTTCTGGCGATGGCTGCTGGGCTTGGGGGACCTTTGCGTTATTGAGTTTAGCTCTGGGAAGGTCAGGAGCATTGTATGCGAGGAGGTTTGTGGTCGACAACAACTGCACCGGTAAAGAGATATCTTTCCGTTTGATCGTTCCGGCAGCGAATTTCTGTTGGTTTTCGCGGTAAGGCATGGGGGATGACACCACAAGTGGCTTTTGCTGGCGCTTGGTGAACGCCCTGCTCAGGGGATTCGACATGGTGGAAGTCGCCATGGCCAATATCTCTCTGATCTGCTAAACGAAAGTTGGGCTTATATGGATTGTTCGAGGGTTGGTTTCTGGATGAAATCGTGTGCCACGGTGAGAGAAGATGGCCACGGTGCGACAAGAGGGTTGGCGCTTCACTTTTAGATGTCTCCACACACCGGTTGACGCAGCCGCCAGATGAAAAAGAAAAAAAAATGGGGAATGTAAATTGAAACGACAAGAAAACCCAAGGGGTTATATTCAAGTTCCCAGGCAACGCAAACCCGCGAGCGAGATTCGGGGTTCGGTTTCGGAATAAAGTAGCTTTAAAAAAAAAAATCGATCGATGCCCTGCGATATATGTTTTCCTGGAAGTAGGGTACGTACCGGTACCACTTAGGGTAGGGTATGTATGAATTTTGCGCCGGAAGTGGGAAACGAAATAAAAAACATAGATAGGCCAGCTGCCGGTTTAAAAGGAAGCAGGAAGCACAGTTGGGTCCTGCAATGGCTTGAAAGCAACAGCGGCACAGAGTTGGAAGAAGGATGAAGCAAAGAATGAATAGGAGTTGTTGCTCAGCAAATCTTGTTGGTTTTGGTTGATGCACGACGAAGCGCGCAGTTAGCAAAGAGGGGGTCGTGATGCGTGGGTGGGTAGAAAGAAAGATGGTCGGGAAAAGGGGCGACAACCAGGACGCGCGACCAAACAATCAATCCGAGATAAAAAATAAAAGAAGGTCGAAGAAGGAATGTGAGAAGAGAAGGTTTTAAGGAGAGTGGAAGTCAGATAATCGACAAAATGTACAGCATGAAGATGCCCAGAGAAGGGACAAGAAAAAACGAGACGATGGGAGATGGGGAGGAGGAGGAGAGAGGAGAGAAAGAGAAGAAACAGAAACAAAAGAGGAGAAGAAACCACCGATGCCGTTTGCTTGCTGCTGACGGTGGAAGTGAGGAAGCCCCTTTCAGTTCCTGGTCGTTGGGCGAGATGGCGCGGCGGGCGACGGGGCGAGGATCTGGTGCCAGGGCTCGGTCAGGATGATTTATGGGGCCTCGAGCCACCCAGTCCCCAGTCTGAACCCAGTCTGAAGCCAGTCTGAAGCTGGTCGCAACAAGTCCCTAGATCCCATGGAACCTCTTGGCGGGGCTGCGGGGCTTGTGGCCCGGTCGCCAGCCAACCAGCAGCCCGCGCCCAGCCTGGTGCCACCTAGTGCCATGGTGCCTGCAGTAGCCGCCGCAGATGGGAGACGGGCCCTGTCACTGGCTGTCAGGTTCCTGTCAGAGCCTGCGAGCGCTCTCGAAGCGTCCAGTCGACAACGGCAAAATGCCCCGGGGCGGCCTAAATGCTCACCATTTGCAGCCATTGGATACCCTTCGCCTAGTTAGCGGATTCTGCCAGGGCTGATGCAGCTGGCCCAATGGGTGCTGATTGGCCCTGCTGCTGAGTGGGCCCCCGAACCTTCAACCGTGCTTGTGCCTGAGACAAAAACCCGACCCCTGGGCCAGTAGCGCTGGCACTCTGGCAAAGTCCCAGCTGCCTGACGCCTGCCCTGACTCCTGGCTCCTGAGTGACGATGCAGTACTATGTACAGTACAACAACCTGGACAGGCACAGGAGTGTTTCCGGGCGCTTCTAACACTTAACTACGAGGACACACACCACCACTGGGGAGAAGATACTCCAGCGTATGGCATAATCCCACTTCATCCGCGCTACGGAGCATCGTACCTTGGTGAAGATTCTTCATCGGAAACAACACGATCACGAACCATAACTAAAACATCAACAGAATTTTCTTTTTTTTTCCTTTTCTTTCTTCTCCGCTTTTTCTCGTTTCTCATGGGACATGCAAAACTTTAAAACGCCAACCAAGCTTAATCTGCCACGTTCAAAACAACCTTTTCGAATGAATCAAAATAAATAAATAATAAATAAAATATTCCCCACTCTTCTTGGTGACCTTACTCTCGTCCACAGAGAGTGTGGGCCATTTCTTCGTTCGCAGGCATACGCTGCGTTGGATTTTGTTACTTGTCCCGGAGGATATTCTTTCTTTTTTTTTTTTTTTTTTTTTGGCTGACCTGGACCAGTTAAAGAGGAGAGAGGGAGGGAAGAAGATCCCTCTCAGCAGCTTTGATGATAGTTTTTAAAAAAAAAAAATTGAAAAGGGATAAAAAAAAAGGAGGTAATAGTACACGCGCGAGTTGGCAATGCTTGAGCTAGCATTATTGTCAACCTCTCACTGACATCAACAACAACATTGTTGATTTGCTTTTTTTCCATCCATTCATTCATCATGCCCTGAACAAATGGCAGATGTCTACCCAAAAACTCGATGAAACACACGACCGACACTCAACATCCCAACATCTCAATGTCTCCTATAGATATATACATATATATAGTCTACTAAGATCGCCGATCAGGCCCCTTCCCTCTTACATGCACATTATTCTATATAAAACGCTCCCTGGATCTTCCTCACAAGATTCAGTGTAAGCTTTTGGGCGAGTGCTTGGCATCAACCATGTGCGTGTGCGATCGATCGATCATCCGAATGTTTGATTCATGCCCCACATCCCCTATCATAAGACATTATTCTTGTTTCTGTCTTTTTCTTTGTGGGTTTACCAATATCATTAGCAAATAAAACGCCGTTCCAACAAGCCAGGTTGAAAGACTGGAAGTTGGAGGCTGTAGGAGACACAGAACTGAAATTGATATTGACAATATTGGTGGTATTGGTGATATTCGACGGACACCGGCTCTACCGAAGCGTTTTAACTCCCAAGATGAGACGGTCCAAAAAG